CTTGGCCACCTGGGCACCCTGCTGGCTCCTATCCAGCCCCCTCTCCACCAACCCCCCCAGGGCCTTTTCCACCGGGCAGCTTTCCAGCCCCTCTGCCCCACGCCTGGAGCGCTGCTTGGGGTTGTACCTGCTTTCCCAGGCAGAAACATTTAAAGCCCACGCTTTATTTCAGGTAGCCCTCAGCGTACATGGTTGGTACTGCCACAATGCAGTACCCCTGGCTGAAGGAGCACCCCAGTAGTCCTGGGATTGAGCTCTCCGCTCCCTGGCCAGGAATACAGGTCCAGGAGGGAGCTGGTGAAGCAGTTGGACCTTCTCAGGTCTCCTCTCCGCCTGCCTGGGGAATTTAGTGCCACACGCTTGAGCTCAGCCCCAACAGAAGGGGATAAGGGTTTGTTTTCCCTTAGTTTATCTCTTAAAAGCGAAGGATTTGGGCCTAGGCTGGTTGCTCGGGATCCTCCTGCATCCAGAGCGGGGAGAGCGGCCTCCGGGCAGCGAGTCGTCCCCGATACCTTCAGGGAAGGTTAAGTCAGCGTTTTGCAAAGCGCCTTCCCCCTCCCCGGTGAGCGGACGCGTGGACAGCGAAGGTCCCGGGCGGTGGGAGCGCGGCGAGCCCTCCTGCGTGCTGACCGCCGCGCTGATGCGGTGGGACAGCCCGGGGGCGGGGGGCTCGCTCGCTGGCTCCCCTTAGCCACCCCGAGGTTGCTCTTGCTGGATTTCGAGCTTCGTTTTTGATTTCTGCCTCTGTTTCTGAGCGCCCCAGCCTCTTCGTAGCCCCTCGCTGCCGCAGCACGGGGGAGCCCGCCCCCCGCCAGCGTCTCCCTCCAGGTTCTGCCTTGCCCCGTGGCTCTACCGAGCTTGGGCTCCGCTCTTGCCATGAGCGGGCAGACGGTGCCGACGGCCGGGCAAGGAGCCGGAGCCCTGCCACTGGCTGCGGGGAGCCCGGGACAAGCCCGGGAGCACCCTCCCACACTGGGAACGGGCTCCTCTGGCTTTCAGCAGTGCCCGGAGGATGAATGAGCTCGGTTCTTGTGCCCCCAGCGCTCTTCCTTGAAGCTATTTTGGTTTTTCTGCCCTGTTTGGTAAAGCTGGAGGCTGCCGTGCATCCGGATCCCGGCTCCCACAGCCCCCAGCCCCCCAGTAGCCCACACCTCGGCCACCCAGCCAGCCAGGGCTGCAGGGCTTGCCTGGCTGGTTCTGAGCGCCGTGGGAGTCCCATCAGCTCCCATAAAACCGGTTGCTCTGCGGAAAACGATCCGGGAGCCGCCTCGGGGCTTAAGCTGGGCTGCTTTATCCCCGCAGGGAGAACAACCCGACCCTGGTGGAGGTGCTGGAGGGGGTGGTTCGCCTCCCCGAGACCGTGCACACCGCCGTCCGCTACACCAGCATCGAGCTGGTGGGAGAGATG